ACCATAGTCAACACATCTTTAACTTTTCCTCTTGTTATTGTACATCTTCTATTTTTCAGTAAACTATTAAATTTTATATATTTTTCATCTCTAACTGTACTTTAAAACATCTTTTTTTATGGAAAATTGTCGATTTTATCAATGTTTTATTTGATCGTTGTATCGTTCGTTAATACCATGAATAACACTGGACTTAAAATACCTCTCTTGGACTAACCACATTCACGATGTTTTCTTTAACTTCTCTTCTTGTTATTTATAAATCCTCCATTTTTCCATTAAGTAATATTTCTTTTTCATTTTTCCTATCTTTTTCGTCTCCGACTATTCTTCAAGATATTGAATTTTTTTAAAAGGGTCAAATTTGGTAATATTTTATTTGATATATTTTTCATCTCTAATTGTACATCAAAACATCTTTTTTTTTAATGGAAAATTGTCGATTTTATCAATATTTTATTTAATAGTTGTATCGGTCCTTAATAGCGTGAATAACTCTGGACTTAAAATGTCTCCTTGGAATAACCACATTCGACACATTTTCTTTTTATTCTTCAATTGTTTTTATAAAATCTCTAGTTTTTCGTAAACAATTGTTTTTTTTTTATTTTTTTATATCTTTCTCGTCTTTAATTGTTGTTCAAAATATAGAGTTTTAAGAAAGAAATCGATTTAGTAATATTTTATTTCATCATTGTATCATTCGGTAAAATTGTGAATAACAGTGGACTTAAAATATCTCTGTTGGGCTAACCACTTTCACGAGGTTTTCTTTAACTTGTCTTCTTGTTATTTATAAATCCTCCATTTTTCCATTGAGTAATATTTCTTTTTCATTTTTCCTATCTTTTTCGTCTCCGACTATTCTTCAAAATATTGAATTTTTTTAAAAGGGTCAAATTTGGAAATTTTTATTTGATCATTTTATTATTCGTTAAAATTGTGAATAATATTTGGTTTAAAATGTCTCTTTGGCTAACCATAGTCAACACATCTTTTTTGACTTCTCTTCTTGTTATTGTACATCTTTTATTTTTCCATAAAATATTAAATTTTAATATATTTTTCATCTCTAATTGTACATCAAAACATCTTTTTTTTTTTAGTGGAAAATTGTCGATTTTATCAATATTTTATTTAATAGTTGTATCGTTCCTTAATAGCGTGAATAACTCTGGACTTAAAATGTCTCCTTGGAATAACCACATTTGACACATTTGCTTTTTATTCTTCAATTGTTATTATAAAATCTCTAGTTTTTCGTAAACAATTGTTTTTTTTTCTTATTTTTTATATCTTTCTCGTCTTTAATTGTTGTTCAAAATATAGAGTTTTAAGAAAGAAATCGATTTAGGAATATTTTATTTCATCATTGTATCATTCGGTAAAATTGTGAATAACAGTGGACTTCAAATATCTCTGTTGGGCTAACCACTTTCACGAGGTTTTCTTTAACTTGTCTTCTTGTTATTTATAAATCCTCCATTTTTCCATTGATTAATATTTCTTTTTCATTTTTCCTATCTTTTTCGTCTCCGACTATTCTTCAAGATATTGAATTTTTTTAAAAGGGTCAAATTTGGCAATTTTCATTTGATCATTTTATTATTCGCTAAAATTGTGAATAATATTTGGTTTAAAATGTCTCTTTGGCTAACCATAGTCAACACATCTTTTTTGACTTCTCTTCTTGTTATTGTACATCTTTTATTTTTCCATAAAATATTAAATTTTAATATATTTTTCATCTCTAATTGTACATCAAAACATCTTTTTTTTAATGGAAAATTGTCGATTTTATCAATATTTTATTTAATAGTTGTATCGTTCCTTAATAGCGTGAATAACTCTGGACTTAAGATGTCTCCTTGGAATAACCACATTCGACACCTTTTCTTTTTATTCTTCAATTGTTATTATAAAATCTCTAGTTTTTCGTAAACAATTGTTTTTTTTTTCTTATTTTTTATATCTTTCTCGTCTTCAATAGTTGTTCAAAATATAGAGTTTTAAGAAAGAAATCGATTTAGGAATATTTTATTTCATTATTTTATCATTCGGTAAAATTGTGAATAACAGTGGACTTAAAATACCTCTCTTGGGCTAACCACATTCACGATGTTTTCTTTAACTTCTCTTCTTGTTATTTATAAATCCTCCATTTTTCCATTAAGTAATATTTCTTTTTCATTTTTTCTATCTTTTTCGTCTCCCAGTATTCTTCAAGATACTGATTTTTTTTAAAAGGGTCAAATTTGGCAATATTTTATTTGATCATTTTATTATTCGCTAAAATTGTGAATAATATTTGGTTTAAAATGTCTCTTTGGCTAACCAGAGTCAACACATCTTCTTTGATTTCTCCTCTTGTTATTGTACATCTTTTATTTTTCCATAAAGTATTAAATTTTGATATATTTTTAATCTCTAATGGTACATCACAACATCTTTTTTTTTTAATGGAAAATTGTCGATTTGATCAATATTTTATTTAATAGTTGTATCGTTCCTTAATAGCGTGAATAACTCTGAACTTAAAATGTCTCCTTGGAGTAACCACATTTGACACATTTGCTTTTTATTCTTCAATTGTTATTATAAAATCTCTAGTTTTTCGTAAACAATTGTTTTTTTTTTCTTATTTTTTATATCTTTCTCGTCTTTAATTGTTGTTCAAAATATAGAGTTTTAAGAAAGAAATCGATTTAGGAATATTTTATTTCATCATTTTATCATTCGGTAAAATTGTGAATAACAGTGGACTTAAAATACCTCTCTTGGGCTAACCACTTTCACGAGGTTTTCTTTAACTTCTCTTCTTGTTATTTATAAATCCTCCATTTTTCCATTAAGTAATATTTCTCTTTCATTTTTCCTATCTTTTTCGTCTCCGACTATTCTTCAAAATATTGAATTTTTTTAAAAGGGTCAAATTTGGCAATATTTTATTTGATCATTTTATTATTCGCTAAAATTGTGAATAATATTTGGCTTAAAATGTCTCTTTGGCTGACCATAGTCAACACATTTTCTTTGACTTCTCCTCTTGTTATTGTACATCTTTTATTTTTCCATAAAGTGTTAAATTTTAATATATTTTTCATCTCTAATTGTACATCAAAACATCTTTTTTTTTTAGTGGAAAATTGTCAATTTTATCAATATTTAATTTAATAGTTGCATCGTTCCTTAATAGCGTGAATAACTCTGGACTTAAAATGTCTCCTTGGAATAAGCACATTCGACACATTCTCTTTTTATTCTTAAATTGTTATTATAAAATCTCTAGTTTTTCGTAAACAATTGTTTTTTTTTTTTCTTGTTTTTTATATCTTTCTCGCCTTTAATTGTTGTTCAAAATATGGAGTTTTAAGAAAGAAATCGATATAGGAATATTTAATTTAATCATTTTATCATTCATATTGTATTTGATACTTATGTCGTCCGTTAACAGCGTGAATAACACTAGGCTTAAAATACTTCCTTGGAATAACCACAGTCAACACATCTTCTTTTTATTCTTCACTTGTTATTAGAAGACCTCTAGTTTTTGGTAAACTATTGTTTTTTTTTTCATTTTTGATATCTTTCTCGTCTCTAACTGTTCTACATAATATAGAATTTTTAGAAAGGAATGGATTTAGGAATATTTTATTTCATCACTTTACCATTCGAAATTTGTAAACAGCAGTGGGTTTAAAATGCCTCCTTGGGCTAACCACAACCACATTCAAGATATCTTCTTTAACTTCTCCTCTTGATATTTATACATCCTCAATTTTTTCGTTAAGTAATATTTCTTTTTCATTTTTACGAACTTTTCCGTCTCTTGACTATTTTTTTGAGATTTTGATTTTCTTTTAAAGAGTCGAATTTAACAATATTTTATTTTATCATTTTATGATTCGCTAAAATTTTGAATAATACTGGATTTAAAATGTCTCTTTGGTCAACCACAATCAACATATCGTCTTTGACTTTTCCTCTTATTATTGTACATATTCTATTTTCCCGTAAAGTATCCACTTTTGATATATTTTTCATCTCTAAATGTACTTCAAAACATTAGATTTAAAAAAAAAATCTGTTTTATCAATATTTTATTTGATCCTTATGTCGTTCGTTAACAGCGTGAATAACACTGGGCTTAAAATGCTTCCTTGGAATAATCACATTCAATACATCTTCTTTTTATTCTTCACTTGTTATTAGAAGACCTCTAGTTTTTGGTAAAATATTGTTTTTTTTTTTCATTTTTGATATCTTTCTCGTCTCTAATTGTTCTACATAATATAGAATTTTTAGACAGGAACGGATTTAGGAATATTTTATTTCATCATTTTATCATTCGGTAAATTTGTAAACAGCAGTGGGTTTAAAATGCCTCCTTGGGCTAACCACAACCACATTCAAGATATCTTCTTTAACTTCTCCTCTTGATATTTATACGTTCTCAATTTTTTCGTTAAGTAATATTTCTTTTTCATTTTTACGAACTTTTCCGTCTCTGACTATTTTTTTAAGATTTTGATTTTTTTTAAAGAGTCGAATTTAACAATATTTTATTTTATCAGTTTATGATTCGCTAAAATTGTGAATAATACTGTCAATTGTTAGTATAGACCTCTAGTTTTTGGTAAAGAATTTTGTCGATATCTTTCTCTTATCTAATCGTTTTTCAAAAATAGAATTTTTAGAAAAAAAAAATCAATTTTAGACCTTTGTTCATCCATTCAGAACAAATTTCGATATCTCGACACAAATGTCAAAAATAACTGCAATTTGTTTTTGAGGATTTTTCAAAAACTTCAAGAAATTTCTGAATGGAATTTGATTTTTTTTGAAAAATAAAACATACAGTAGTATCATTCTCTAATTTGTTAAGTTGTGTAATAATTATGTATTTTTTTAAAACCCATCTGCTTTTCAAATTTTTGCGATGACGTCATCAACTTTCCGGAGTGGACCAACCAATAATAACACCACCTCTTTATTTTCAGCGAGAAATTCGGCCTCTTCCACGTCGACTTCTCCGACCCCGCTCGCCCGCGCACCCCCAAGTCCTCCGCCCGCTGGTACAAATCCTTCCTCACCCGAAGACACCTCGCCGCCGCCGCCGCCAAAACCGAGCTCTAGCACCTCTCCAGCCGGTGACTTCAACGCAAGAGGACACACGAAGCCACAGGTGTTCAACCGCCGCCGCCTGTGCGCGGATTCCCCTTGACAAACCGCCCCCGGCCGCCGTAATGGCAGCTGTGCACAACATAACTAGTATAAATAAATCGAATTGCTGGCATTCATTCCGATAATAGGCGAATCCTTTTTGCTGATCAGACAGGGCAGCGATTTCCGACGAGACGGGATATCGATGTCCTACTTCCTCCCTGCCTTCCCTTAATTTACTTATCCGCGTTTCGGAAACGCCTTACATTTACGACGGGCTTAACGGCTAGAATCGCATGCCGGCGCGAGGGCGCACCACGGCGGGTGATTTGTTTGGGCTATTACGGGTAAATTGCGGCGATATGAAACATGGGACGAGGGAGAACGGGAAATGGGCTGGCAAATGAGCTGGGGCGGCTGTAAATCCGGAGCGGGGGAGGGGGTGACGACGGAATGATTACGTGAAGATGTTTTCGGACGAAATTTGGGGTGGGCATTAAAATAAAAAATAAAATCAGCGTTCGGTTATAAAGTTGTATCCATAGATAGCGCTACAGTCGGAACGGTTAATTCAAGGTTATTTGAGGCAAAATCAATTGTCTTATCTATAATTAATGGACTAAATGTTTTAGTATTTATTTTGTGTTTTTCATTAATATTTAGTGTTTACGATTTAATTTAATTTGAATAAGATATTGAGGAAACTTATAAATCTTGTTAAAACTTTTATGTTTTCTTAAAATACCTACTGTTTTTTTTATTTTGATATTATTTTTAAAGTCAATTTTAGCAATGTTTTATCTGACTTCTCTTGCTATCTTATTAAATTTCTTCTAATTTTCCTTAAAATCTGCAATATACCTATTTAAACATCGTGCTTGAAGATTTCTGGAAAAATGTCAAAATTGTATAGTATAAAAAAACTTAGAAATTACAAAACCAATTACTTTGTTAGCTTAGTTTAAGTTTATTGCCAACATGATAAACCGTTGTAGATTTATGTAAAAAATTCAACATTGTACGAGAAAATTTTACAATTTAACTTGAAAACTACCACACCGACTACTTAGAAAGTTTATAGACGCCTTAAGTTTATCGCCGGCATGATAAATATCTAATCAGAATAGATTTATGAATCCCCTACGCAATCTTGATGACGTCATCTTAAAATTTTATTGACTGAATCTCCTTTGAAATTTATAGTATCACTGGCGGATTTATTTGTAATTTAACAATGTTTAGATATTTTTAGTAGTAGGCGTTCCAGTTATCGCAAAAAAATAAAATTTGAAGAAGAAAATTTTCCTTTGTTTCAGAGTCTAGAGAATCTTTTTTTTTTAATTTCGGCAAGATATTAAAATTGATTTGAAGATTCCAAAAATCGACTGAAATTTATTTATTTGTGCCCTCTCCGAACTTCATGACTCAAAACTGCTTATAGCGAATATTAAAAAAAAAAAAAGAAATAATAAAATAAAAAGTGAACTAAACTGTGTAAAATAATATGCTGCCATCTTCGTAATTTATTAATCCAACTCTGTTTTTTAAACTTCATGTTTGTAAATTTATGGAAAAAATTCAACATTGTACGAGAAAATTTTACAATTAAACTTGAAAACTACCACACCGACTACTTAGAAATTTTATAGACGCCTTAAGTTTATCGCCGGCATGATAAATATCTAATCAGAATAGATTTATGAATCCCCTACACAATCTTGATCCCGTCATCTCAAAATTTTATTGACTAATTCTCCTTTGAAATTTATAGTATCACTGGCGGATTTATTTGTAATTTAATAATGTTTAGATATTTTTAGTAATAGGCGTTCCAGTTATCGCAAAAAAATAAAATTTGAAGAAGAAAATTTTCCTTGGTTTCAGAGTCTACAAAATCTTTTTTTTTTTTATTTTGGCAAGATATTAATATGTATTTAAAGATTACAAGAATCGACTGAAATTTATTTATTTGTGCCCTCTCCGAACTTCATGACTCAAAACTGTTTATGGCGAATAGGTATTTAAAAAAAAAGAAATAATAAAATAAAAAGTGAACTAAACTGTGTAAAATAATATGCTGCCATCTTCGTAATTTATTAATCCAACTCTGTTTTTTAAACTTCATGTTTGTAAATTTATGGAAAAAATTCAACATTGTACGAGAAAATTTTACAATTAAACTTGAAAACTACCACACCGGCTACTTAGAAATTTTATAGACACCTTAAGTTTATCGCGGGCATGATAAATATCTAATCAGAATAGATTTATAAATCCCTTACACAATCTTGATGACGTCATTTCAAAATTTTATTGACTAAATCTCCTTTGAAATTTATAGTATCACTGGCGGATTTATTTGTAATTTAATAATGTTTAGATATTTTTAGTAGTAGGCGTTCCAGTTATCGCAAATAAATAAAACTTGAAGAAGAAAATTTTCCTTTGTTTCAGAGTCTACAGAATCATTTTTTTTTTTTTAAATTTTGGCACGATATTAATATTGATTTAAAGATTACAAAAATCGACTGAAATTTATTTATTTGTGCCCTCTCCGAACTTAATGACTCAAAACTGTTTATAACGAATATTAATAAAAAAGAAATAATAAAATAAAGAGTGAACTAAACTGTGTAAAATAATATGCAGCTATCTTCGTAATTTATTAATCCAACTCTGTTTTTTAAACTTTATGTTTGTAAATTTATGGAAAAAATTCAACATTGTACGAGAAAATTTTACAATTTAACTTGAAAACTACCACACCGACTACTTAGAAATTTTAAAGACGCCTTAAGTTTATCGCGGGCATGATAAATATCTAGTCAGAATACATTTATGAATCCCCTACAAAATCTAGATGACGTCATCTCAAAATTTTATTGACTAAATCTCCTTTGAAATTTATAGTATCACTGGCGGATTTATTTGTAATTTAATAATGTTTAGATATTTTTAGTAGTAGGCGTTCCAGTTATCGCAAAAAAATAAAATTTGAAGAAGAAAATTTTCCTTTGTTTCAGAGTCTACAGAATCATTTTTTTTTTATTTTGGCAAGATACTAATATTGATTTAAAGGTTACAAAAATCGACTGAAATTTATTTCTTTGTGCCGTCTCCGAACTTAGTGACTCAAAACTGTTTATAACGAATATTTAAAAAAAAAGAAATAATAAAATAACGAGTGAACAAAAATGTGTAAAATAATATGCTGCTATCTTCGTAATTTATTAATCCACTTCTGTTTTTTAAACTTTATGTTTGTAAATTTATGGAAAAAATTCAACATTGTCCGGGAAAATTTTGCAATTTAGCTTGAAAACTACCACACCGACTCCTTGGAAATTTTATAGACGCCTTAAGTTTATCGCCGGCATGATAAATATCTATTCAGAATAGATTTATGAATCCCCTACACAATCTTGATGACGTCATCTCAAAATTTTATTGACTAAATCTCCTTTGAAATTTAGAGTATCACTGGCGGATTTATTTGTAGTTTAGTAGTGTTTAGATATTTTTAGTAGTAGGCGTTCCAGTTATCGCAAAAAAATAAAATTTGAAGAAGAAAATTTTCCTTTGTTTCAGAGTCTACAAAATCATTTTTTTTTTAATTTTGGCAAGATATTAATATTGATTTAAAGGTTACAAAAATTTATTTCTTTGTGCCGTCTCCGAACTTAATGACTCAAAACTGTTTATAACGAATATTTAAAAAAAAAAAGAAATAATAAAATAACGAGTGAACAAAAATGTGTAAAATAATATGCTGCTATCTTCGTAATTTATTAATCCACTTCTGTTTTTTAAACTTTATGTTTGTAAATTTATGGAAAAAATTCAACATTGTCCGGGAAAATTTTGCAATTTAACTTGAAAACTACCACACCGACTCCTTGGAAATTTTATAGACGCCTTAAGTTTATCGCCGGCATGATAAATATCTAGTCAGAATAGACTTATGAATCCCCTACACAATCTCGATGACGTCATCTCAAAATTTTATTGACTAAATCTCCTTTGAAATTTATAGTATCACTGGCGGATTTATTTGTAATTTAATAATGTTTAGATATTTTTAGTAATAGGCGGTCCAGTTATCGCAAAAAAATAAAATTTGAAGAACAAAATTTTCCTTTGTTTCAGAGTCTACAGAATCATTTTTTTTTTTAATTTTGGCACGATATTAATATTGATTTAAAGATTACAAAAATCGACTGAAATTTATTTATTTGTGCCCTCTCCGAACTTAATGACTCAAAACTGTTTATAGCGAATATTAAAAAAAAAGAAATAATAAAATAAAAAGTGAACTAAACTGTGTAAAATAATATGCTGCCATCTTCGTAATTTATTAATCCAACTCTGTTTTTTAAACTTTATGTTTGTAAATTTATGGAAAAAATTCAACATTGTACAAGAAAATTTTACAATTTAACTTGAAAACTGCCACACCGACTACTTAGAAAGTTTATAGACGCCTTAAGTTTATCGCCGGCATGATAAATATCTAGTCAGAATAGATTTATGAATCCCCTACACAATCTCGATGACGTCATCTCAAAATTTTTTTGACTAAATCTCCTTTGAAATTTATAGTATCACTGGCGGATGTATTTGTAATTTAATAATGTTTAGATATTTTTAGTAGTAGGCGTTCCAGTTATCGCAAAAAAATAAAATTTGAAGAAGAAAATTTTCCTTTGTTTCAGAGTCTAGAAAATCTTTTTTTTTTAATTTCGGCAAGATATTAAAATTGATTTAAAGATTACAAAAATCGACTGAAATTTATTTATTTGTGCCCTCTCCGAACTTAATGACTCAAAACTGTTTATAACGAATATTTAAAAAAAAGAAATAATAAAATAAAGAGTGAACTAAACTGTGTAAAATAATATGCTGCCATCTTCGTAATTTATTAATCCAACTCTGTTTTTTAAACTTTATGTTTGTAAATTTATGGAAAAAATTCAACATTGTACGAGAAAATTTTACAGTTTAACTTGAAAATTACCACACCGACTACTTAGAAATTTTATAGACGCCTTAAGTTTATCGCCGGCATGATAAATATCTGATCAGAATACATTTATGAATCCCTTACACAATCTTGATGACGTCATCTCAAAATTTTATTTATAATGTT